TAAATACATACATACATACATACTAGCTGCGCAGAAAGGCATATCAGTGTACCTCACAGGAGCGACACGAACAACGCGAAATTTCTGCATCATGCCTGTCTAGCAAGAAACCGAATAGCCGTTACACTAATAAACGGTGGCTAGTTCCGTTTTTCGAAACAAGGTTACCCTGAGATTCCAGTTTTGTGTACTTGTCACGGAAACCCGCGAAGATGACACGTGAAAGAGGCGAAGCTAGGATGCGATGTTGTTGTAGTAGTTATTGTAGTGGTTGTTGTTGTTGGGCGTTCATACTCCGCATCAGTCTTCTTCATATTGCGACGTATAACTACTTAATTTTGTTCCAGCGCAACGTGTTGCCAAGGCAGTACGCTTGGATTGCAAGCGCGTTGCAGCCTTTCGTTGAAGACTTTTGTTTCTGTAGGTGTTTTTTTTCCGATGAGCCTGGCTCCTTCATCAACCAAAAGCTGGCAGCGTCGTAAGGCCAGTAGGACGAAAGGGCGTCATGTCAATTTTCGTAGAATTGCATTGTCGGGCTTTCTTGTTGGGTGGAGCGTGCGACAGTTGGAAAGCAAGTGATATGAGAGCAAAGGAGAACGTCATCACTGTGGCAGCGATGAACAAGGACATGCTTCGCATGCGCATTGGTAGGGTTGCCAGCAGAGAACCGGCCGCCAAACAAGATCGGCTCTTTTGTATCGGAAGCATCGGTCAGCTGAAGCCGACAAGACAACCTAGTATATGATGTTTTGATAGTGTGTCATAAATTATACTGTAGTACTAATAGTACATTCGTCTCGTCATATGGGAAGAGAAACCTCGGCTTCCTGGGCCCTTTTGGGAGTTGGAAGGGGCAATGCCCAGCAGTCCGACATGAGCACCGTGAGCTCCCAACAGGAGACCTTTGAAGAGGAGGCCTTCCGAAACGAGGTGGAGGACGCCTCCCAAGAGGCACATGGGAAGATGAAGTTAGGGTCATGCTTTGTACTCTCCAGGACTACCTGCGTGTTTTGCTATTGGGTTTTGGTGATTTCTCAACACGGTTTTGCAGCAAGGATGAGTATCGGAAATGTAGGTCTGGGGTTCCGAAGTGAGCTGAATCGCGAATACACAAGCCCCTACAATGCCGGCCTCTGCCGCACGAGGTAGGCTACGCTGTGACATCGATCATCCTTGCGGCTCGGATGCTCTTAAAACGGCTCGCAGCCGGGTTCAGAGTGGCTCAAACTTGGCTCTTTCCGATGCACCTTGGATGCTGGAGGTTTCAAGGCACATCCTATGCGAACATACGGTGTGCAGTGTGCAAAAAGTCTACGACGTAATACGTGGGTATGTCAGGGTATGTGTGTAATCTTCACATGACATTGGACATGTGCATAAGAATCATATAGCAGGCATACTTTCATTTGGACACACACACACGCACTTAGAATCATTTCGACATGTGTTTCGTGTGCGTCTTTATTTTCACTGAAACTCAGGCAGACTCAGCATTCAATATATTAAGATAGGTACAAGTACAAAACAAGATAAGTAGATAATATAAACAAACAGACGAATAAGTGTGCAAAAGCAGTTGATGACACACGATATACCTTGCGGTATATGTAAGATGTATAAGTACATGCATATGTCTGTATGTGTGTTGTATGTACGTATGTATATACGCATAGTTAATACCTAGATCTTGTATCTACATCTTTATCGACATCTATAACTATATCTACATCGACATCTACATCTAGATCTGTGTCTAGATCTGTCTACATCGACATGGACGTGTATATCTAGAGCTGAATCTACATCTATATCCAGCAGTTTGTCTATGTCACCTATGTCTACAACTATTCCATATCCATATCTGTGTCTATATCTATAACTGTATCTACATCGACATCTACATCTAGAATTATATTTCTATCTAGATTGATTTCTATATCTATCTACATCTACATCTACGTCTAGACCTCGATTTATATCCATATCGGTATCTGTATCTATATATCTGTACCTAACTATTCTTATGTATGCATGACATGCGCACAATACATGTATCTGTGCGACAGATTGTACTAAGGAGGGTGAGAAGCACCGGCCACAGCAACTTGCGCGATGCTGGGCACAATTGAGTTGGTTTGGGCACGTTTGCCTTACTGTTTTCGTAATAAAATCTGCGCAGATGGGCCTTGTCAGTTTGAGACGAAGGATCCCGGCAGCAAATAGGAGGGCATAGTCAGACATGGCACGGTGGAAGAGTATAATATAATTCCTGTCAACTCATGCCTGTCAGGATACTACCTTAACCGCAAGAGCTTCATGGGTGAGTGGGCCAAAGGCCACACGAAGCCGTCCTGCATCCTCGCAGCGTCGTAGAGGCTGTGGAAAAGAGGCGACAGGGACCCGGCACTATTCCAACACCCCGATTCTTCGACCCGAAACCCTGAACCCCAAGCCCAACCCTATACCCTAACCTGAAGCCGTAAACCCTGAGCCATGTACCAGCCATAAACTTTCCCCCGCTTGAAGCCCTAAGCTACCCCAAACCCTAAACCTCAACCCCCAGCCCAAAGCCTTGCCTAAACCTCAGATACTTTGAGCCTTCACACCCCACAAGGTTTCTTGAGACCTCCGAAAAGCTCAACATCAAAGCCCTGCATGCGCAGCCCTAGAGGCCCCTACTTCCCGACACCCAAAGCCAAGTAAGACACGCAACCTCCCCTCAAGCACCTAAACCCCAAACCAACACCCATATAGTACCCTAATCCCCCAAAAAAATTAAAAAAATAAAAAAAAAAACCTAATCCCAAACCCCCCAAACCAATACCCACATAGTTAATACTCTAATCCCAAAACCCGAAAGCCGAAGACCCTATCACAGAGACCCGGAACTCAAAGCCCAAGGAGCTCAAAAGCTCAGCTGAGGCCTCGGGCTGGCTCGAGCGCAGAGACAGAGCCGACCGCGAAGGCGAGCTCCGCAGAGTTTCACATGGATATTTTTGTTGGAGATTTGGGGTTTAGGGTTTGGCGATTTACATCGGTTTTGTTGGAGCTTTGGGGTTTAGGGTTTAGGTTTTGGCGAAAAGTTAAGAGGTCTAGAGGTTGATCCTTGGTTGGTTTGTCGTTTTTGGGGCGTTTGAGCTCTGGGGTTCAGGCTGTAGGGTTGAAGAAACATGAGGCCGGGGAAGTAGAGAGCCTGAGATAGATAGAGAGAGAGAGAGAGAGAGCAAAAAAGACGGGAGAGACAGACCTGAGAGATCCTTGCAGCAAGCGCCATCACACGAAGAAAGCCTTATGACTTTTGGCCGGTCGGGACACGTAGGCCTTCGCCTGATCGTCCTCCTCGTCTCGTCGTTTGCTGATATACAAGCAGCATGCTGGCCGCTCTTCCGATCACCTCGAAGTTTGTGAACGGACGCCACATAGTTTCGGGCCACAAGACATGCTCCGATTCAGTCCCCTTCTGTATGTACGGTGCAGTCTATTTATAAAGTCGAGGCTCTCCTAGTGACTTAGTATGACTCTGCGGATTGAGCTCGAAGTTTGTCACACGTACCACACGTCGCGCCACTTCTTCTAACCCGACACTCCAAACTGCAGACCCCGCCCCCCCAAAGGCGCACGTAGCACTTACTTAAGCAATAACCACCGTGGATCATGATATGAAGCACCTTGTCCCTCTGAACTGCGCTGGAAAACCGGCCCTAGGAAGCGGTGGCCATCCTACCCGGAGGGCCGGGCATGTCGGATGCGGACACCAGGCAGGGTAAACTTCTGGCAGAGCTGGGCAGAACAAGAGAAGATATGGTGGTAGTGGTGGTAGTACTAATAGCAGCAGTAGCAGTCCTAAGAGTCATAACAATAACAGTGGGAGCAAGAATAGATGAATAACCCGAGAAACCAGAGTTCTGATAATACCAATAGTTGTCTAGCCTTCGCTCTGGTAGCGAAGGAGCTGGCCTCTTTGTTAGCTATAGTATATATGTGTACATTGGCTGTCTATTGACTGCATATGGACTGTAATAAGACTTGTAAATATGGGGGTTCGGTTTTGGGTGAGGGGGGGGGCAGGAGACGGTCGAACAAAAAGGATTCGTTGCTGGATGGTTTCGTGGTTGTTGCTTTTTGGTTTCAGTTGTCACTTCGTCCGGCCCCGTAGCATGCTTAGGCTCCCGTAGGAATTAGGCTCGCAATTAAATCCCTAAGTTCTTGACCTAAAACCATCATAAGACCCTAACATTGACTGTGCTTTATTAAGTATAACCCTAAACAGTCAGTAAGACCCTAATTTTGGTACAACTCTTTGAGCCATAACTTGACCCTAAATCGTATGACCATAATACTGACTAAGCCTTCTTCTCTAAGCCATAAGATAACCCTAACCAGCTATGCGACACTGCATGTCATCCTCGCGTTGGACAAGCTGAAGATCCTTTTGCTTGTGCCGGGTGCCTCAGTGGTTTGTCTAGGTTTGCATTACCGAGCATGCCGCAGCTTCGGCTGCGGTCCTCGATCTACCAGGCTTTAGTGCCTGGTTACCAGCATACCGAGCTTCGGCTTCGGTGCTTGCGGTCACCAACAAACCGAAGCTGCGGCTTTCCTCATTAACATGCCGAGGCTCCGTCCTCGGTGTTGATGGGGCACCAGCGTACCGAGGCTTCGGCCTCGGTGCTGGTTACTTTACGTGCATACGGAAGCTTCGGCTTCTACCAGCACACGGAGGCTTCGGCCTCGGTGCTGGTTCACTCACCGACACGCCGAGGCTTCGGCTTCGGTGTCGGCGAGCTACCAGCTCACCGAGGCTTCGGCCGCAGTGCTGGTCACTTCGTGTGGTTCTGACTAGATTAAGGTGCCTGTTCATTGTCTGAGGTCGAGTGGGACAAATTCCTTGCCAATGCTGGCGCACAGCCCCTGGCTGAAATTTACTGGTGGCTCGGATTCAAGGGTGCTACACCAGTCATGTGGGGATATGGGTTTATCATGATGTCCATTGTCTGTGCCAAGGAATGCACTGTACTAGTTATGGGTTTATCACGACGTCCACTGTGTGTGCCAAGGAATGCACTGTACTTCGTTGCCTGTGGCCGAGTGGAATGGAAAGTCCTGGCCAACACCACGATATCCACTGTCTGTGCCGCGGAATACACAGTACTTCGTTGGTGGATGCGGCTGTCTTGATTGATTGCCGGAGTGGGTATCGAGGTGCCTTCCAGCAGAGAGAGAGAGAGAGAGNNATAGATAGATAGATAGATTTTGCAGGTAAGCATTGACTTGGCTGGCGAGCCTGACTGTGATTGTTTGCTCGAGAGCGTTGACTTGACTGGTGAACCTGACTTTTGCTCGAGAGTGACTATAGGGAAACTGCCTGCTTGCTTCCTGAGTGCCTTGTCTCAGTAGCTTGCCTCGGGATGACAATGGCTGCAGCTAGCTCAATGGAGCAGAAACAGGCTCGTGCCTCGGAACTTTGGGGTCGCCTCAGAGACCCAACGGTTCAAGACCGCATGACCCTGCTCATCATGACGTGGCGGTACGAAGGCGTGGACTTGACAACTAGATGTCGGAACAGGTGGCACCAAGGGACTGACTTCGCGCCGGAGCAGGTGTGGGGAAGAGGTCTGGCAAACTACAACTACAAGTAGGTTGCCTATATGACTTTCCCTGTGGTGCGCGAAGAGCTGCTTGGAGACCAGAGCCGACGCTCAAGTCCTTGTTCGCCTGGCTGCTGTGGGAGAATGCGGCTGAGTTCAATGCCCGGCTACATGATCGTGGATGGGTGCTGACAGAGAACCAAAGGACTGAGCTGATGTTCGACCTGCGGGACTTCATGGAGCTGGCTGATATCTGCCAATCTACCATCACGGCTACATCAGATTCGATTCGTGATGTCTGGTCACTGGATGACATTGCCATGGCTCCGAATTGTCCAAGTGACGCCTGGTCAGATTTTTGTTTGTTGGAATTGGCTGAATCACCAGTGACGCCGCCTGATGTCTGTAAAGCATACAAACATAATAAGTAGACTACGGGACCTGCCATGGCCCAACTTGATTGAATGATCAATGATTGAACTGATCCCAGCACTCCTGTCATTGTGTATGATTTCCCGGGCAGGTGCTGGCTCCAACGACTACAACGACAATTTTGCTTACAAGCCTACAAGACCATCGACTGCTTGGGTATTTGAGGCTGGTGGTTTTTGGATATGCAAATGTCTGAGGGCGCATTGTCATTGTGTCTGTTTTCCCATGGAGGTACTTGCCCAACTTGATTGAAGTGTCTATGTTTTCCTGGTGAGGTACCTGACTGGCAATTTGCACTACCATGCGGCCAGAGGACTTACTACCGGCACATATCGAATGCTCGGGTATTTGAGGCTGGCTGTTATCAGGTTGCGAATGTCTGAGGGCACAGTGTCATTGCGTACGTTTTCCTGTGGAGGGCCCAACTTGACAGATTGAACTGATGCCAGCACTCTTGTCGGCTCCAATGACTACAACGACGACAATTTTGCCTGTTGATGTCCTTCACCTTAGCTTCTATGCTGATCCGGGACATTGTGCGCAGTCCTGCACACAATGTCCACGGATTGATGTGGTTGTCAAGAACGCTGGGTCCGACCATGGATTCACCACTGGATTTATGACACAGGTGTGATCTGGCGACGTAAGGGTGACTGGCGTCCCGCCGTGTGCTTATTTGATAAACACGAGACACTGGATGTCACAGTCGCTTCAACAGGTGCCTGATGACGGAGAATCGAATCAGGCCAGAAGTCGAGGCGCACGGTCAGTGTGGTGTTCCTGTGGAAAATCACACTGACTGTTCCCCCCGACTGACTCCTCTCTTGATTACAATGGTTTGAGGTTCACAAGTCACTCCGTTCCTGTGGGATGTCGCACTGACCATGGGCCTTCACTGCAATGATCATGGTTGCAGGGAAGTGCCAACAGTGCATCGCACCTCTCCTGGTACTTCTCTGCAGCCACCCTCAGAGGTGATCGACCTAGTCTGATTCAGTCCAAGTCGTTCTGGAGTTCCACAGGAACACCTCACTGACCCTGGGCCTCGACTGCAATAATGTTTGCAGGGAAGTGCGGGGGGCGGTATGAGAATCGCACTTCTCCTTGCACTTGCCTGTAGCCACCTGCTTGACACCACTTTCTGTCTCAGACGTGATCGACCTGGTCTGATTCAATCAAAGATAGAAGGTGCATGTGCAAGACGAGGTGTCTCACCTCGTCCTGCACCATGAACCTTTTTCGGAGAAAAAGGTGCATGCGCAGGACGAGGTGATCGAGCAACCCGGGCCCACGACCGTCCCGTCCTACGTGGTGATAGTGGGTCCTGGGTTGCTTGTGACTGGTTACGACAGCACT